TACTACAGGACTAAAGGTTTGGTTGTAATCTACTCCTTTCTTTTGACAAAACCATTTAGCAACCAATCTAGCCTTGTATTTATCTATGGATCCATCAGCGTTCAGTTTTATCTTAGAAACCCACTGACATGGAATCGCCTTTCTGTTTTTCGGTAACTTCTCCAGGCTCCATGTAGTTTTCTCTGAGTGAATCAATTTCACTATCCATTGCATCCTTCTACAATGCTTTATCAGGGCAGACTATTGCTTCTTTATAACTACACACATCAAAAGTGTCTAGGGATCAACATATATTTTTGCAATAACTTTTCTCCTGATTGATATTAATTAAAATTTTCTTTAAGGATTCATCAAATAAAGTGTTTTCGTTTGTCACAGTAACGATAAACCAAGTCACCTTTGCATTAATAAAGAAATTTGCCATTTTCCTAATAAAGGGATTTTTGACATTTGAACCACTAACACAAAAGTTCGAAAAAAAGACTGAAATAACAGTTTTCTCTAAAATTTTATTGGGTAACTTAAACAATTAATAATCCGTATTTCTACCGCGAACACTAACAACACAAGAACATCGGTTTGGCATACTCAAAATGAGTTCATCCAAATCACGCTGTGGAATGGCCGCCCATGTTCGTTGCAACAACAAAAAAAGGTCTTCTTGCGACTGGATACCCTCCATATTCGGCAGAGCTCTTCTCTGTAGCATATCCCATGCATGCTCAATCGGGTTCAAGTCTGGCGACTGAGCAGGCCAGGGCAGGACATTGATGTTAGCTGCGGCGAGAGTCTGTCTTACAACTCTTGCGGTGTGCGGTCGTGCATTATCATGCATTAACTGAAATAAGGGACCGATTTGCACTTGTAGAGGAACGATGACGTCTGATACAATCGTCTCAGCATAAATTTGAGCGTTGAGGTTGCCTCTGATCCAAATCAACTCAGTTCTTCCGCCGATCCAAATACCCGCCCATACCATGATGGTTCCACCACTATAAGGATGGACTTCCTGGCAGGATTTTAATCGCTGTTGGCGTCCAGGGGTTCTCCAGTGTCGTATACGTCTTGTATCCGGTCTCATACCAAAACGAGACTCATCAGAAAAGCACACGAAACGCCATTGTTCTTCTGCCCAATTTCTGTGTTCAAGAGCCCATTGATATCGAATCCTACGATTGTGCATTGCTATAGGTGGTACCCGTAGCGGTCTTCGGGAATGAAGGTTCACTTCATGCAAGCGGTTTCTGACTGTTTGGTCGCTAATTAAGTTCCCTGAAGAGTGATGAAGCCTCACGGCTAACATCATGGCGGTTATTGTTGGAGCTCCTCGAGTTAAGATTTGAATGTATCGGTCTTGTCTCCGTGTGGTGCAGCGATACCGTCCTCCATGGCGCTCAGCCACGGTACCAGTGCTTCGGTATCGTGTCCAAAGTCGACTGATAACACTCTGACTTGTATTCAGAGCTAAAGCCACAGTACGTTGCCGGGAACCAGCTTCTATCATTCCCACGGCTCTGAGCATTTCTTCCCTGCTTAAATGACGTCGCCGCTATATAATAACGTTGGTTTAATCAGTAGTAGGGAAACAGTAGCACTAATAATGTCTTCAATGCGTTGTATGTTTTTATAGGGAAAATATTGACAGCTGATTTTCATCTTTTACTCGAATTTGATTCACAGTTCCTGATTCAAATTATGAAATGCACCAAAAAGGATCCATATAAATTTATAAAATCATAAATTTATTACAAAGCCACATCTCAATCTCAAGAAATCCGCATAAAAATGCTTGATCCCTAGACACTTTTGATGTGTGTAGTTGGTTTTAAGTGTTCTTCGGTATTCATGACGAAATCTCTGAATCTAGCGGTTGTCGAAGCATTACACGATTTCTTAACACCCTATCAGATTATTCATTCACCAATCCTTCCATAGTGTCTTCATATTGAAGATCAATATCAGTTTCATTCTCAATAGTAACTTCTATTTTGTTCTCAAAAGTAACTTCTGTTTCGTTTTCAACAGTAACTTCTTCGACATCTTCAATCCCCGCCCCCTAGATGCAATAGTTATTTCCTTGTTAGAGAATGCGTTATCAAACTCACATTTATTGCTGTCAACTTTAGGTTCCATATCAACCATACCTGGATCATTCATAATTGAATCTTCTTCTCTGATTTCAGAATTTATTCGTAGTTAAATCTCTGTTCCCGTCATTAAGGACTGATCTTGAAAGTCCTCGAGTTTTGATAAAATAGACTTTTCATCAAACGTAACATCTCTCGACCTTACTATAGAGTTAGTCTCTTTGTACCATAGTCTGTATCCGTCGTCATTATCGTAACCTACTAGCAATCACTTTTTTGGCTTCCTTGTGTAATTTTTTCCTACTTACTTTAGGAACATGCACGTAACAATGTGTTATCCTATTATCCTCAAGTGCGTAATTCGAGGTTTCTTTCCTAACCATATCTCAAACGGAGATTTGTTTCCCACTGTGGTTGGACCTATTCTGATAAGAATATATACAGCAGTATATACCAACTTAGCCCACAGTGATTCAGGAAAAACTTCACGTGCATGCATCATCGTTCGATAAGTATAAATAAGGACATATAAGTTTATGCCTAATACCTTCTTTTCTTCAAGTATCTTCAAATCTTCTGTTAATGAATTCGCCAGTCATCAATTCCTTAATAACGTAGCCGTCTTCACTAAAGCAAGCATTTCCTCTAGCTTTTCTGGAACTTCAGATTTGTGCTTTAAGCAATAAATGAAGTGAAATTTCAAGTAGTCATCCTTAAAGAGTAGAAAGTACCTTTGTTTCAACAATGAAGGCGGAAAGAGACCACAAACATCAACATGCATTATTTCACCAGGCGATTTGGCTCTTATCCTTGTGCCGAACTGACGTCGGTGCGCCTTACCGAACAAACAGTCTTCACATAACTCTCCTAATCTTATATCTTTTTTATCTCTAATCTGTATCTTTAGTCTTGATGTCTAATTCTCGCTTAACCAGACTTTTCACATATCGCTTATCTTGGTGTCTCATACGTTCGTGATATAACTGCAATTTATTCACATCATTAACAGATGCAATTATTTTAGGTTTCACCGCTGTGCACTTCAGCTTATATAGTCCACCAAACATCTGTCTTTGTCCAGTTACTATATCCTTTTTGTCTATCTCCGACATGCACGAAGTGACCCGTGACTGGAACAGGCTATATGCTTTTTTGTCGTGTGTTGCCAATACCGAAAACAGATTTCTTGTTATACTCGGTACAAACCAATCGTCGCTTAGAAAGAATTCTTTACCATTAGCTTTCATTTTTATTGAGCCTTTTCCTACAGCTTGAACTACGTTACCATTTGCAGTAGTAACAGTATGACGTTCATCAAAATGTATGTAATCCTCAAAAAGTCTTCATGCATCGTAATATGGTGAGTAGCCCCGTTGTCTACGTACCAAGATTCACGATCAAGACTGGATTTCACAAAGCTACTGAAGATATTCATATTGGTGCTCGTAGTGCGTTCAGCCGAACTCATGCTACAGTCCTTTCTGATGTGTCCCACTTTCTTACAAATGTAACATCTGACTTTAGATCCTCCGTTTGATTCCATCTTGGCTCGTGCCGATCCTTTCGTTTTCACTATCAATGCTTCACCGGACTTACTGGATTCTCCCTCTAAACTATTTCTTAACGATCTTTCGTGAGAGCATAACTGGCTAGTGATGTTCTCTACAGTACGATCCTTTCTGGACATCAACGTCCAACTCGACTTGAACGAAAAATATTTTTCTGGCAAGGTGTCCAAAATTTTACAAAATATCTGGTAATCCTGTTTCTTCATTCTTTGCTAAATATAGGTGCAGCTTATGGCAAAGATTTTTAATCTTGGAGATGTGTGTTGATATATTTTCCGTGTCCATCTTTTTGTACTGGAAAAATTCAATACAAGTTTCGTATAATCTGTGATCTGTTGAACCATCAAATATTCGATGGAGCTCGTCCCAATCATCTTTCGGGTTTGTGAAATAACTTTATCAAGTGTCTCATCTGATATATTATTTATTATCAATAACAAGGCAATTCTTTCCTGAGTACAGTATTCCTTCAGACGTTTTTCATACAATGCATTAACAGCCGCGGCATCACCGTCACCCCCACCAACTATCGTTCTTTCAGGTCATGCCGCGGAGTACTGCCGACATACGGTATTTCCATGGTATCCAATTGCTCGCATTTTCGTCAAGTTTTGGAATCTGAATTTTACATAGCTCCATATTTCTCAGTGAAATATGCCCATTACCACTTAGCACAGTACGTTTCTAGCAGGAGCTAACTGGGCAGTAGGTAAATTAAAGATAATTTAAAGAAAACGATATATATTAGGCACACATAAAGAATAGCAATTTTATAATAACAGTTTCCTTTTTGTTTCCTTTTGACAACAGCACTCAATAGGTTTTGACAACGCAATATAACAAAGGAGTTTACTCTATTAGGGACTGCCTTGCAGCCTACGAAATACTAGATAAAATCGACACGACCATTAGGGTCGTGGTAGCATAATGGTCAGTGCGTCCGCCCGGATACCGAAGAGTGAAGGTTCGAGTCCCATCTGCTGCCTGGTCCGTTTTTTCTAGTAACAATTTCTTTATTTAATAATATAAATATCTGGCAGTTAATTGCTCAAAAAATAAAAATATAACTTAATATAATGAAGTATCAAATTTTGTTTAAAACAAAAACAGAAGAAAACTTGTTAAGAAACCACGATAAAATCACACTGCACGTGGCACTATTTTTTTCCTTTGGGCACAATTTGGCACTATTCGTGAACTATTTTTTGGCATTCTTGAAATAACATAATTCCATGGTGGGGCGTAGATACACTCGTTATCTTATATATCAGATCGACACCGAAGTTTAATCAGTGATAAAAAAAATATTCCTTTATATAATTACACGCCATTTATCATAAATCAATTAGTTTTATTTAGTGATAATCCACGGCCACTTGTTTTATTTTTTGTTTTGTTTCCAAAATGAAGGGTATTTTCTTGGCGGCGTTGTTGAGCGCTTTGATTGCAGTTTATGCAAGCGAAAGTAAGAAAATTTTATTACTGGAGTGGTTATTGTCTGAATTCATCATCTAACAAAAAAATATTTACTTTCGTCCTTTTGCATATAACAATTTTAATCTTTATGGCTTAATATTTCATGTTTGTCATCCAGTGCTTTTAAATCATTACTCGTCAAGAACGCAATCATAATTAATTTGAAATTACATCACCATAGTGTTGTGAAATCCATGAATGAATATCTATCAAATGTCAAATTAAAAGATATCATTATGAGTGTAGAAATAAAAGAAAGCGTAATAAAATAAGCCCCTAGATCTTAGTTAATGGATCACAAGTCCTACATGATCATCTAAGCAGGGTGAGAATGTTAAGTTTGCAATTTCATATTTCATGTATCTTAAAGTCAATTTTGAGGAACTCAGTGGCGAAGTGGTAGTGCATTTAGTCTGCGATTTTGGTAGTTAAGCAACTTTCGCATGGCCTTTCATAGAATGTGTGGCCGAAATATTTATTTCCGTTAGTCGTGGCTGCTTCTGCACTCGTTAGTACCCAACAAACCAAATGGCGCCCTAGTGCCTCAGTAGTGGAAAGTTCATGATGGTGATGAAGCCGATTTTCATAGACGGCTCCACAATTTGCTTCACTGCACCTAATGTTAAGTGTAAGTAGAATTCAGTTGATAGCTGAATTGAAGTTGGTATGACTGGCCACAACTCACCTTGCAATTCTGATTCCCTTCATCACGGAGTTTTTGAAATCTTGCTCACGGTAGGAACACAAAGCTAAAGAATATAACATTACCTTGATGATAATCCTCAATAGCATTGAAAGAGGAACAATAATAATAGGAGTATAAGAGAAGTAGGGTATAGCAAAATTCTTGCTTGAATTGAAGTACACGTCTGGTAAGTGACCTCCACCTTATAGAAAACCACAGTGAAATAGCTCTACCTTTTTATAGTGTTGTGTTTTTTTTTTTTGATGAGTAAGATGTTAAGAACTTCTCGAAATAATCCCAATTAAAATAGCTGTGAGAGACCTTGGTGCATTTCACGATTCGGAGCTACTCTCCGATACGTATATTAATAAGGTGATCGCGAAATGCTCTAAGTCAGGCCAAGATACTCAAAATTTTATATTTTACCTTTGTTAGAAGTCATCTGGAGAATGCATCTCAGGTCTGGAACCCGAATATCTAGGGTTCATGACCTGAATGTATTCTTCTGCATAACTGTGCTTTCGTACTAAGAAACGGTATGATTCAGGTCGGAACGGGGAACTCTGTAAAAAGTTCCCTAACCCCTTAGGATTAATATTACTTTAAGTATCCCCCCTACTTCAACAAATTATCTGCATATTAAATAATTTCACTATCAAAACAGGTAAATTTAGATCTTTTTAACACTAGCAAAGCGTCGATTAGACGTATAATTTCTCGTTGGGTTTTTTGGAGATTATAATTAACAAGCGCATAATTTGTTATTCTGTTATTTATCATAAAGACCTCATTTATAAAACCATATCTAAGAGTTTGTTTTACATTGGACAGTGCAAATAGTTTCGTTATAACTTTAAGTTATGTCTAGATGTGAGGACCTGTAATTGGGTCTTTATCACTACTATTCATTTCTAGTCTATTAAGATAAGCTATTGGTCTTTCATGTAACCAAAATAAATCAATAAGGATATGACAAACATCAAGTCAAACTCAGTAATTTTTTACATAAAAGTGATTGTCCAAGTTACTTTCATCGATATCCTATGTGCTTAGCAAAACAAACAAAGGCTAGGCTGGATTAGAGAACTGAAATAGTGTGAACCGGGCACCAATCGAATTATAGGAACTAAAACTATTTAAAAATAAAAAGTTGTTTTTGACGTGTTCAACATCAATTGCTGTTCGTTAGTCTCGCTAAAACTCAAGAACGGCTGAACGGATTTATCTTATCTTGGCCTTGAAATATTCGTGGAGGTCTAGGGAAGGTTTATAGGTCAGAAAATATGGAAAAATTGCGAGGAAGATAGTAAAAACGTCAATTTAATTTTCCCATAAATACTGTTCAATCTTCTGTCCTGTCAAACATTAGACGTTCGTCCAAGGAACTTATATACTAACTGGAATGCTTACGCGACCCTCAAAAGCATTCCGAAGAGAAAACCTCAATTAGTAGAAGATGTCTCTTTCTAGTAGTGTGCCCAAACAGTAACATAAGTGATGAGATAATTATTTTTCTGTGGGTCAAGTAACTATCTCAAATTTTCTATTCTATATTCTTAGCTTGAAAGTCCCAAAAATATTAAAATCCTTAAACGACCTTACGAGCTTATTAAATATGTCGCTATATGTATTGCATCTGTTTTTTATCCAACATTGAACACGATTTACGGTTCTCAGATTTCAAATTTAATTTGTCAAACGATACGTTATTAAATAATTCTTATAAATACTTCAATTACTAGGAAAACAAAAATGAAAATAAAACCATTGAATAATATTTAAGTATAATTTTTATTGTTTTTAAAGCATGTAACTGCTTGATGTTTAAATCTAAAGAAAATATAACTAGAAAAAAATTCCACGCGGACCAGGCAGCAGACGGGACTCGAACCCGCACCCTTCGCAATCCGGGCGAATGCACTGACCAATTATGCTACCGCGGCCCTCACGGACCGCGTCGAAATTCTTTCTAGCTATTCTTAAGCTGCAAGGCAGCACCATCTCTTCGCATTATAGGTAAACCCACAATGTCAAATGAATACTTTTACAAGTATTAAACATTTGAAAGAAGAAATAGCAATTATAGTTATAATTTTTATTATTTTTAAAGCATGTAACTGCTTGATGTTTAAATCTAAAGAAAATATAAATAGAAAAAAAAAATTAAAAGTCTTAAAAAACACGACGCAGCGTTTTATCAATTTGATATTAAGTTTTTATTCTCAACGTTTTAGGTAGATTGGTATACATTTTTTGTCATGAAAAATTTAATTGGCTTATTTAAAAAATAGAAGCTTTTCGATAGCGTTTATAATAGTATAAAGTATAAATACGTATATTACAATAGTAAAATCCATTCAAAAGTTAATTCAATAACCATACTACATGATATTTACTTTTTGATGAGCATATATATTTTCAAGTAATGGCTGCAAATTAAACTTTAACTTCAATATTTGCTATTAAATGGAACAATTCCAAGCCACTGTTACCGAAAGTTCTCATTCTGCTACATGCAGGTCAGTTGGCAGTAGTTCTGATACTGGCCTTTCTTTAACTTCTTATACAACTATATCTCAAGTTGAAGATACTTCATTGATGGTAATGAATGACCGTACGTTTTCTATTATAGTTAGAAGGTAGTACATATACACATATACACGTACATACTTAGATTAAAACAAAAAGGTAAGGTAAAACGTAAAGGAAGATACGGCACTCGAGGTTCAAAAGTGTATAATTCGCTTTAGCCACAATTGGAAAATCGAACACGCTGTATGTGCACTCAATATAACAATATTGCGTATATTCTGAGTGTAAAGCGATGAGGACTCGCCGTTTCGCTCGCGCTACGTTGAAGCGTACAGTTCTGTCTCGCTCGCTCGATTGCATGTTTGTTTATAGTAGTGTGCGTGTGTTTTGAGTCCGAGCATATTTTATTTGATGATAAAAGTATCGTATCTTCCCTTTTTGTTTAAGTACATTTAATTTGGAAGAGCTCGATGGCGCAAGTGGTTGGCGTGTTCGGCTGCGATCGTTGAAGTTAAGCAACTTTCGCAGTGGTCAGTTATTGGATGGGTGACCAAAATTAGACCTTCTTACTCAAGCTCCTCCGTGCTTCGTAAGGCACGTTAAGCCGTTGGTCCAGGCTGCAACTGAAGTCTTTAGTACCCAGCAATCCCTCGTGAGCCCCCGTGGAAGATCCTAGCCCAATCTCATTCTATTCATAGGAATGGCCCCACGAGCGGGGACATTAATATGCTGATGATGATGACATATACTTTCCGTAGGAAAATAGAAAATGTTTTGTCATCCTACACATGTAATTTGTAAACAGAAATCAAAAACTTACCTATTAATGAAATTCTACAACTAGCATACGTCTCACTTTTACACCATTTTGTATATAAAAAAATATTATTTTGCAACCGAAAAACACAAGAATTTGATCAAAATAATTTGTAGTTAGCATAAATAAGAATTCAATCCGGTAGTATAAATGCAAGTTACTGCCAATAACTACCACTTTAAACAATTTTATTAGATACGTTATCCATTTTAATAAAAATAAACACATTTTTGGTTGCACTGATATCAATACGCTAATTGCAATCTATACTTATAATAAATCTGTAGAGAGGTCAATTCTGTACATGAAATATATTTTCAAAATAACTATCAGGGGGTGATAAGTGATCGATACTGATGCCAAAAATGCAATCAGTAAAATTTTTGTCTGTCTGTCTGTCTGTGTGTATGTTCCTTATAGAAACAAAAACTACTTGACGGATTTTAACGAAACTTAGTACAATTATTCTTCATACTCCTGGGCAGGTTATAGTATACTTTTCATCACGCTACAATCAATAGGAGCAGAGTAGTGAAGGGAAATGTTGGGAAAACGGGAGAAGTTACTCCATTTTTTAAGCTTCCATCGCGTGTGGAGCCTTAATGGTTAAAGTTACATAGAAATCATGTATGACGGAAATATTTTACATAAAATTGTCTAAAAAATATCCCGCAACAGCATATGTCTATCTTTTATGGTTGACTCACAATAACACGTGTAACTCCTGATAGCTTAGCAGTTCGGAGCATTCTGATTATATTTGTTTACTTTTACGTTTATAATACTCTCACTCATCCCTAATTTAAAAAAGTTAACATTATTACCTATTCAATAAAAAAAGAATCATAGAAATCGGTATAGAAACACCAAACTTATACATGAAATAAGCCATCGCGCCGTCGCACGTGAATACTGAATCATGCTTTAAGGATTATTTTTGTGTAACGGCTGCCGCGCTCGACACGGGTCGTGGCGGCGCGGTAGGGTATAAAAAGGCGGGAGGTCCGAAAGCGAGCTTCCCCGCCCCCCCGATCCTGAGAGACCTTCAGTCGCTCAGTCCCAAACCGATACGGATGCACATCAGGGTGCATCCGTCCTCTAAGCGCACTATGCAGTAGTATTTACTAAGGCAGCGCTGCATCATCCCCTTCTCAGGGGTTGATCGCATCAGATGAAGCCTGTAAAGCCCCTAAGGCCATAGGCATCCCCCACGGGTGTGTTTTAGTCAGTAAGAGTCTGACATAACTCTACAGCCGGCTGTAGGGTATCCATGAGGATTTCACACCCGCAGGCGGGGCCTGGGAGGAAACAAAAAAAAAAGAAAGCGAGCTTCATTCAATATTTGGCTGTTGATGCGTTCAGAGCGTTCGACCTTATTGACAGACAATAATTGATATTGAGAAACCGTGTTTATCTTAGAATAAAAACCAAACATTTGTAAACAAAATTAGCAAATAAATCATGTAAAACGTGTAGAAAATGAGTACTGGAAAATGGAAATATGAGAATTTTAGTTTGGTTATAAATACAGGTAATAAAAATGACCGTCATTATCTATATATGTATATAAAAGTCAAAGGTGACTGACTGCCATAGTGATATATCAACACACAGCCCAAACTACTGGACGGATCGGGCTGAAATTTGGCATGCAGGTAGATGTTATGACGTAGGCATCCTCTAAGAAAGGATTTTGATCAATTCTACCCCCAAGGGGATAAAATAGGGAATGAAAGTTTGTATGAAACTTTGTCATTTTTAAACCGATCGGGCTGAGACTTTGCATGCAGGTATAAGAAAAATCATAGATGAATGTCATTGTGTATAATACAAGCCTGAGAACAAAAACTGTAGTCTATACTTCAGCTCTACACCGAAGCGAAGCGAGGGCGGACCGCTAGTCAAACATAAATGCTAATTTAACTATCAAACTGTACGTTCTTGTTTTTATAAATGGTTATTGCGATAATCTAAAAACTACCATTTGATTATTTTTATTAACACTGACAATTGCAAGAAAGGGACAGATTCAACTTTCGTCGTTGTCGCGTTGGGAGTATTTTTCCCTCTTATGAAAGTAGAAACAAAAATGAACTTTATGTACAACTTGTTAGAGTACATTTTTTAACTCTCATATTGTTTCGTAAGCATTCCAGTTAGTATACAGGGTGTTACAGAATTCCGAAATAAGATTTGTAGGTGTGTATTCCGAAATAAAAATTTGTAGGTATCTGAGCGGGGCGCTGGGGCGCCTGGGGGAGAGAGGGGGGTCTGTTTAGGTAGTAGTAATCGTACGCATCTATAGGGTTGTCATAGGCACCTGCCTACAAATTAATTTTACACCTGTAAAACGATATTTTTATTAATTTAATTAGAAAATAAAAGTGGTCTGAAAGGCGTCAAACTGTCGTAGGTAATTCTATACAAGGAACACAACCAAACCCTAAAGTTTTATTTCGGACTTTTGCCACACCTGTATACGAGTAAGTTCCTTGCGTTCGTCCCTTTTGGTACGGTAGACTCGGGTCCGTCATTTCTTCCAAATGATTTTAACCCGTACGAAGTACGCGGGGTGAACAAGTGTTAAATATAATGTTTACAGAGGTTGTGATCTGCTACTACGGCACTTGGGCGGTAAACAGACCAGGTTTGGGCAAGTTCGGCGTGGAAGACGTAAACCCGTACCTTTGTTCCCACATCATATACGCATTCGCAGGCATAAACTCAGACGGAGCTGTTATACCTCTTGATGTAGAACTTGATTTTGGTAAAGGTAAATTATTCTAACTATTTCACAGTCGACACGATACCCCTCCTAGTTATAGATAATCGCGAACACCGGAGGGTAGAGCTATATTTATTCTTCTTGATGTAAGATTTAGTGGAATTCAGAAGGCCTACTCTATTTCGATGAAAAACGAAAATTCGATCGAAATTTCGCACGTTTATTGTATTTCTTTTTCATTTGGAATATTCGTTCGCCCGAAAATAGTTTGACAGTAAATTCTCCAAGCCTACTCTAATTCACAATACTTTCGAACGAAAAGTTGAATTTGACATATTTGTTCGAAATTTGAACCTCAAATTGATGAAATGAAAAGTGTTAACTTTGCTTTTTCGTTTTGGTATTTTTATTTGAATTAGGTTTCAAATGCTTGATAGAGTGTTTTTCATCCAGGTTGCTTAGCTCGAGGGACATTTTATAGCATGTAAAATTAACAAAGAAATTTTTATTATTTATTGTATTTCCAATACTTTAAAATATTAAACGACAAATTTAGGTTGAAATACAATCGATTCTACAAATTAGTCGGCTAATACTGTCAAAAAAGGTTCTTTCAATGTCATCAAAAATGTTGTCATAATCACGAAAATTGTTTGTGATTCCGAACTTTATGTGCATGTTCGAAAATAAAATAGAGTAGAGTCACTGGCGAAATTTCGTTTGAAATTCGTTCGTTACCGAAATTTCGTTTCGGAGAAAGAGAGTAAATTTCATTTCTTGTTAACATAAGCGTAAGAGGAGTAGAGCTCCAGATGCGATGAGAACTGAAACGGAATTTAAACTTATGCCACACCTACCACCCTTGACTTGGCAGCATAATTCGCTTTTCTATTATCCGTTTTATACTATGCTCTCAATTCTTCCTAAATAGTCTACAAGACAAAATACTTGCTTGGTTAATTTTTTTATTGCTGGTGATTTCCAGACTTTCGATAAATCCTCTAGGAAAACAGTTAATAGGGCTTCTCTTTACTGTTTTTGTACCAAAGTTACTTAATCATCAGTATAAGAGGTAACTGCTTTCAGCAGTGGTTGAGTATATAAGTTTTAAGTCACAATTTTGAGGACATCAATATTTTTTTCTCCCTACCTATGTACTTAGAGTTCATTTTATGGTTGTTTTAATTTTAATGCATTGTGAAAGCCAAGCATCATGATATAACTAATTGATAATGACATAACAAAATTACAGATAACTACAGAAATTTCACCGATCTAAAAAAGAAAAATCCCAATCTTAAACCTATGTTGGCTGTTGGAGGTTGGAATGAAGGATCAGCGAAATATTCCGAAGTGAGTATCATAAAATCAATCGTAATATCAGCATATCAATATGCTCACTAATAAGGCTTCTAGCCTACCTCTATTAACAAAAGTATTGTATATCAAATAACAACTCTGTAGTTGTTATTTTATGTAAATCCTTAAGCGGCCTTAAGGATGACTCAAGCTACATCGTGGCGGGTCTAGGCCGGGCGTCGGTTGTGCCAAGTCTGGAGGGCAGCCGTGCCAGGTCCATGCGTCGGCCGTCGCATGGTCGACTAATATTAGATACATTTCATATGGACACACTCACGCTAAAGGTACAGCACGGTCTAATGTGAGCCATCCTTTACAGTTGTAGCTGTGTCTATAGGGTCCAACATTCGAGCGATTCGATTCAAAGTAATTCGCAAGTGCAATTAGTGGCAGAATAAACCAACTTTTTTACATATACATGTAAAAAAGTTGGTTTATTCTGCTTATAAATGAAAAAGTTTAATCTTACAACAGATCTAAGAACTTTGAACCATTTGACATACTCGATGCATGAACTGTATATATCGCTATCTATTGTGTGTTCTGTATTTGGTTCGTGAATTTTATGATTCTGATGACTCAAGTATCAGCAGGATCATTCAAGTAAAAGCAGAATTCGCCATTTTTTTTAGATCTTTAGTAGTTTGATCTCCAGACTACGATAGCTAATGTGAATAAAAAATCTTTCAGATGGCGGCTGATCCAGCTAAGCGACAAAACTTCATCCTGAGCGCTCTCGACATTATACTTGATTTCCAATTTGCGGGATTCGACTTGGGTTGGGAATACCCCAATCGTCGAGACACAGTCCACGGTGTTGATGACATAGAAAACTTTACACAACTCGTGAAGGAAATGAGGGAAGAATTTGATAAACATGGCCTGATATTGACAGCGACTGTGTCTGCCGTCGAAGCAGCAGCAGCACAATCTTATAATGTATCAGCTATATCGACGTAAGTTTAAGATACATGCTTAGATGTAACGTACCTTAATATGGTTTCGACTCATGGTTTCGATTATCATAGGTTCCATTTCGCACATTTTATCATATAACATCATCGATATTCATCAGGCATCATCATATATTTTATCATTTATACCTGGAAACACATAATTTCAAAAATATCACACACTATTCATCACTTTGTAAATACGTATAATAATTTCTTCTGTACTGAAAATCACTATTCCAGAGTGCTGGACACTTACCGGCATTTCTCTTTATTCTGTTATTTACTTGTTTTCACTAATTATGCTTTGATTTTATCTATTTTTAATTTATTTATTTTATTGACATTTTATGACAACCTAATGTTTTTTATCCGTTGCCATGGCTACCCATGACACGGATACTCTCTCCAACTACGTCTATGACTATTCAACCTCCACAGACCACTTACTTTGATTCTTTTTGGCTCGATTCGAACCGTGTCTAAATTCAAATGGTTCCGGACCTATAAAAGGCCGAGCCTCCCTGATCATTCATTCAATTCTACGGCAAAAGTTGCCTACTCAACTTTGGAAAAGCTCGCTACCGAGCTCTAAATTAATAAAAGGCCTTGTCCCGGGGCCGACTGTCCCGGGACTCAAGAAAGACCTCAAAGCTTTTTAGCACCTATTGGCTCTTTAAACAACTTCCTAACTCCAATACTATACTACTATACACGTTCTCGCAACCTCATCGGTGGGACTGCGCCTGGACTCCAGCTTCTTCGGCCAGCCTCCAGCTGCTTCAGCCCGCCTTCTACCGACTCCTGCCGTTTCTTCAACGCCCGCCTCTGGTGGTTGCTGGCGGCGCTGCTGGTAGTTTGGCCGGCGTATATCGGCCAGAGGTCTTTCTTGAGTCCCGGGGCAGTCGGCCCCGGGACAAGGCCTTTTATTAATTTAGAGCTCGGTAGCGAGCTTTTCAAAAGTTGAGTAGGCAACTTTTGCCGTAGAATTGAATGAATGATCAGGGAGGCTCGGCCTTTTATAGGTCCGGAACCATTTGAATTTAGACACGGTTCGAATCGAGTCAAAAAGAATCAAAGTAAGTGGTCTGTGGAGGTTGAATAGTCATAGACGTAGTTGGAGAGAGTATCCGTGTCATGGGTAGCCATGGCAACGGATAAAAAACATTAGGTTGTCATAAAATGTCAATAAAATAAATAAATTAAAAATAGATAAAATCAAAGCATAATTAGTGAAAACAAGTAAATAACAGAATAAAGAGAAATGCCGGTAAGTGTCCAGCACTCTGGAATAGTGATTTTCAGTACAGAAGAAATTATTATACGTATTTACAAAGTGATGAATAGTGTGTGATATTTTTGAAATTATGTGTTTCCAGGAATAAATGATAAAATATATGATGATGCCTGATGAATATCGATGATGTTATATGATAAAATGTGCGAAATGGAACCTATGATAATCGAAACCATGAGTCGAAACCATATTAAGGTACGTTACATAGATTGAAACCAAAATGGAAGATACGGTACGCTCATACTAGCATCAGAAATAAAACATGACCCGACTCAACTATATTGGCAACTCTCACACACGCACACGCCTGTAAATAACATTCCATCGAGCGAGCGAGACAGAACTGTACGCTTCAACGCAAATCTAGAGAAACGGCGGATCCGCTTCCGAGTCTGAACGGCTGAGCTGTATTGTTGTCCTTTTCTTGTTAACAAAATGGCGATTACGTAAATAACATTCACGGCAAGCCGTGATTTGTGAGAATAAAATTATAATGAAGTTCTGCGAATTAAAAGTGTTGCCGAAGCATTTGTTATTTGATTTTGAACTATATGTGTTCTTTATAAAAGCACCGCAGGCATTGTTTTATCTTTATAACACATATATGCAATATCGTTATATTGAGTGCACATGCAGCGTATTTATTTATTTATTTTGTACACACACAATAAAATATTAGAAAAAAGAGAAACAAGAGACATGTACAAGGGCACTGCTTATTTCATAATGACATTTTTGGTATTTGAATGTCCAATTGTGACTAAAGCGAATTGTGGTCGTGCACCACAATTGAAGCGGATCACTTTCGAGCCGCGAGTGCCGTATCTTTTTGTTTTAATCAAAGGATACATATCTAATTTCTTTCATCTATAACGTGAATGTTAAAAGAAAAACAGTCTTATGACAAAAGAAAAGTGTCTGTTTTCGTCTTGTAATCCATCATCATCATGGTCAGCCTGTTAATGTCTCAACTCCTGGGGCACAGGTCTTCCCTATCTCGATGGCATAGGGAGTTTGGTCCGTGACCCACCACGTATTGTGTCGGATTGGTGGGTGCTAACGACTACAGATGCAGCCGGGATCAACGGTTTAACTTGCTTTGCAAAGCACGAAGGAGCTCGAGATGATAAGTTTTTGGTCACCCATCCAATGACCGACAATTGCGAAAGTTGCTTAACTTTCACGATCACGGGCTTAATGCGCTAAGTACCTGCGCCATCGGGCTCCTCTGTATAATAATATAACAATCTATTTTTATTAATTTCAGGTACTTACATTATGTGAATTTAATGTCATATGATATGCATGGTTCTTGGGATTCAGTCACGGGTCATAATGCTGGTCTCCATAAAGGAGATAGTGACGAAGCTATCCCAAGAGAACAGTTGTTAACTGTTGATGTGGCTGTAGAGTATTGGCTGAGAGAAGGTATGAAACAGTTATTTTGTAATCTTAATGCTAAACCGTTTATTAATTATTTTCCAACCAAATGCAAGAAATTTCGACACTATTCTAGCTACGTTAGTGTGCTTGCGTTTGATTCACATCTTTACTAGAATACATAAATATTAATAATTAAAAATTCGAAGCCTTAGAGATATTTTTTTTTTTAATTCTGTTTGGGTCTATGATCATATACGAGAGATCAAAAGCAATTGATAAGTCAACATCGAACCTTTTATCAAAAAAAAATTAAACGTTTCTACATTCATATCTCAAAGCTAAAACTTAAACCCCATATTATTCCTTTTTCCGATATTGAGGAATCGTTCAAAATACACAGACTTTTCCGCTTTGTATAATTTCGATTACTATGAATCAATCAACACAGAAGTACATAGAAAACCAAAATCTAACCAATTTGTTATGGACATCATACCTTTCCTAAAACCTAACATGAATCCTTAAATAATCACAAAAGTATCAATCACTTCTACTTCTTCTTCATCGTCGTTTCCTCATGGCTGAGGGTCTTTCAGGACAGCACATTTCACCAACGATCTCCAGGCCGTTCTGTGTTCTGCAAGGCGGATGGACGCCTGCAATTTGCCATTCGTAGTTGCTTTAACTATGTCCAACCACCGAGATGGAGACCTGCCCCTACTCCTCTTACCTTCCACGTTACGTTTCCCACGACCAAAAGCTTTTCAAAGTTATCTGGGCTTCTCCTTGCCACGTGACCGAAGTATTTTAGGAGGCGCTGCATGCAAATAGATGAGATATGCGTCTTGATACCCAGCTCCTTCAAGATCGATGCATTAGTTCTTCGTGCGGACCAAGGTATTCGTAGCATTTTGCGCCAACACTTCAAATGCATCAATCTTGAAACGGACACGCGCTTTCAACGTCCAGGTCTCGGAACGTATAAGAAAATCGAGAAGTCCAGGGCACGCATCAGCCTCACTTTAGTCGATTTAGTAATTCCTCTGTTCTTCCAGATCCTCTCCATGCGCTTCACAGCAGCCTTTGCCATCTGTCCGCGCCTGCCCACTTCCGCCTCGCAGTCCGCCTCACGTTTTTACTAGAATACATAAATATTAACATTTTCACAAATAAGATCAGCGTGGACTCGAAACTTTAAAGAGATATTTAAAAAAACTGTTTGGGTCTATGATCATATACGAGAGATCAAAAGCAATTAATCAGTGAACATCGAAACTTTTATCAAAGAAAATAAACGTTTCTACATTCATATCCCAAGGTTGAAACTTAAATCCCATGTTATTCCTTTCATATATTGGAATAACATGGGATTTAAGTTTCAACCTTGGGATATGAATGTAGAAACGTGTATTTTCTTTGATAAAAGTCTATGAATCTATCAACAGAATAGAAGTACATACAAAACCAAAATCTGAACAATTTGTTATGGACATCGAATCTTACCTAAAACCTGACATGAATCCTTAAATTATCAGAAAAGTATCTATAAATAACATTCTATTATTATCCTTTTCTCCATAGGCTGTCCACCAGAAAAGCTAGTACTTGGGGTACCTTTCTACGGCCGCACTTTCAAATTGCAATCTGAAAGCAATACCGGTGTCAGGGCTCCTACAGATGGCGCTGGTATCGGTGGTCCTTATACTGGTGAAGTGGGCTATGTTGGGTACAACGAGGTAATTGCCTTTTTGTATATTAAATGCCTAATTAGTACCTAACACTTTACATGGCTATTCGTTTTGCTATTTGTCATTTTGAAATAAGTATATCCTTCCCATTCTCTATAGGGATTGAAAAGGATTGTGTTATTAATGTTGTTATTATATTTGTAGACGGGGCACGTGGGCGTTCGTTTAGTGGGTGGTTTGCACTGTCTAGGAACCTAGACAGTGCAAACTTATTAATAAAGATAGTCGAATAAATACTCAGCTCAAAATGATCTATGATTGCTCAGATAAAAACGGATGAAATCGAACCGAGGTGAAGTCGATAAGGGGTTGGCAACACGACCTAAAAAGCTCGACGTCGAGATTACAAATGTCCCGTAAACTGTTTGTTTTCTCCCAGGCGGGGGACCGGAGGAGAATACCCTACAGCCGGCTGCAAAGCTATGTCAGACTCTAACTGACTAAAATACATCCGTAGCGGCTGCCTCTGGCGGGGAAGAGCTTTAAGGCTTCATCGGATGCAATCGTCCCCTGAGAACGAGACGATGCAGACCCGAAAAGTGACGTTTCACTCGTTTTTAAAAACTCACAGTGACAAATGTCAAACGTAGGATAAAGTTGATTAGTAACCAGTTTTGCCAAACCATTCGCCGATTACACCCAAGTCGGTTCCGACTTCACGTTCCTTTCAACAATCCTCGACATATTTGTATATAATGCGATTCAACTAAGAATAGGATCGACGCGACGGGGCGCCATATTGTGATGTCATAGCTGTCAATTCAAACGAAAAAGGTAGAGTGAGCAAAAAAGTTATTCTAAAGATAAGTTTACTAGAAAAAAATCCACGCGGACCAGGCAGCGGACGGGACTCGAACCCGCATCCTTCGCTATCCGGGCGAATGCACTGACCATTATGTTACCACGGCCCTATTAGCCGCGTCGAAATTTTCCTAGCCTTAAGCTGTAAGGCAGCGCCATCTTTTCGCATTGTAGGTAACCCACAATGTCAAATGAATACTTTTTCAAGTATTAAATATTTGAAAGAAGAAATAGCAATTATAGTTATGATTTTATTTATTTTTTAAGCATTTAACTGCTAGATGTTTAAATCTAAAGAAAAGTTTACTAGAAAAAAATCCACGCGGACCAGGCAGCGGACGGGACTCGAACCCGCATCCTTTCAAATTCAAAAAAAAGTATTCATTTGACATTGTGGGTTACCTACAATGCGAAGAGATGGCGCTGCCTTGCAGCTTAAGGCTAGGAAAATTTCGACGCGGCTAATGGGGCCGTGGTAGCATAATGGTTAGTGCATTCGCCCGGATAGCGAAGGATGCGGGTTCGAGTCCCGTCCGCTGCCTGGTCCGCGTGGATTTTTTTCTAGTAAACTTTTCTTTAGATTTAAACATCTAGCAGTTAAATGCTTAAAAAATAAATAAAATCATAAAAAAGTTATTATTTAATAAAAGTTATTTACTAAGATTAAGTGAGAAAAAGCATCCAATTTTTTAATAAAATTTATTTACTGAAATTGAGTAAAGTAAATAACCGATTTTTAATAATATTTATTAAGACTGTGCAAGAAACATTAATCAGGATTAAGCTCTTCAATTCCGCTCATCTCTGCATTACCGCCGGAGTAGTAATGAATAATCATGCACTATTACTAGCCGTTACATACGAACATGCATCCTATATGTAAACCAAAATTTTAAATCGAGTTTCTGAACGCAACTTAAAGTGACATTTAGTTGAAAATAAAATATCAACCAATATTAATTAACAATATTTGTTATTTTTTGTTTACAATTGTTTGGTTTTTATTCCATAATTAGCTGAGTGCTAAAAAAGGGTTCCAAGATTTTTTTGCAAGCCGTACTTTTCAAGCGAGATTTGACAGATGGAGGTCATTGGCTTTCCTATTCTTATTTGAATCGCATTATAGGTTGTTAAATTTAAAAATGGTTAACCTAAAATGCGAAGAGATGGCGCTACCTTGCAGCCCAAGAAATACTAGAAGATATTCGACACCGCCATTAAGGTAGCGGTAGGGTTCAATTCCCGTCTGTTTCCTGGACCGCATGGATTTTTTTGTAGCAAAAACAATTTGTTTCGGATTAACCATCTAGCAATAAAATGCCTAAAAAATAAAAAAATAATAAACTAATATTATTTTTACTTGCTTGTTAATAGTTCTGCGCCATGCTCCGATCGGACCCATCCTGGACTATTCGAAGGGATTTTCTGGCTAATGTGCCTTATGCTGTCAACGGCTTAAACTGGGTGTCCTACGACGATCCCGAATCCATAAGAGATAAAGTGGAATATGCCTTAGAAAAGGATTTAGCTGGAATCATGGTGTGGAGTATTGAGACTGATGACATCCACAACATTTGCGGTGGCGGAGTATATACTCTTCTGAACGTTATCAGTGACGTTTTGTATGAAAACTCTTGCCATTTCAAACGGCAAGAGTTATGGTAAGATAGAAAAATTTATTATCATTAATATGAAAAAATGAAATAATATATATTGAAGAAAAGTTTTCTTTTCTTTTACAGATGCACGGTGTTACTGAAATTTAATCAACAAGACCAGAAAGAAACGCCCGAGGAATCCATTTCAGACTAACTACCAAACAAAATTATACCAATCATTTTTCCTCTCAAATCTCTTGCAATTTCTTTGCAGGAGGACAAGATTATTTTCAAATGTGGTATTTATATAGATGAGTAAATTATTTGCCCATTTATTTAATAAGAAGAAAATAAAAACAATTGTACCTAGTACTTTGTTGTTTTCCGAAAATAGAACAAATATATAAAAACAAGTGCAATGTACCATACCTGATTTATTTAAACATATGCAGCGACAACAAAATTAACCACCAAAAGCCCCAATAGTAACTTACCAATAAATACCCCCAAAAATATCAATATATTTTTGATTTAACGAATAATAAAAATCTCAACATAATGCACTTAAACACACAAGGAAATAAATCAAAGATAGGCTACAAATATTATCCAAAGAAGAAGATATTCATGTATGTTGTTTAAGTGAAACTTTTATGAAAGATAATGAAATAAAGATTTTGAAATTGGATTGTTGCAACAAAGCAGCTCATTTTTGTAGAAAGCGAAAAATTCGGGGCGGTGTTGCTAGATATGTCAAAAATGTAATCGAGTATAAAGAACTAAATTGGATGTCGGAAATGTCAATTGAAAGTCATATAGTACGCTGCGGTACAGTATTGACTGGTATAAATTACATGATTGTGTGCGCCTACAGAACACCTAACAGTGATTTGGTAAAACTCTCATACGTTCTAGAAATAGATTTAAGAGCATTTTTGTTTAGGTGACTTCAATGTGAACACACTAATAGTGAATAGCAAAAGTGAAATGTTTATAAATATGTTTAGATCATTTAATCTACACCCTTCTGTTCATATTCCAACTAGAACGACAACTTATATTCTATGGCATGCATCGATAACATTTTCACTAACACAAAAAAATATGACATAAAAATTCTTGACATAGGATTGTCTGATCATTCCTGTCAGTTGATATCCGTCCCCTGCAGTCTCAACTTTACGAAAAAATATTGGTACACATTAAACATATATGACAACCTCCGTGGCCGAATGTTTGTACGCTGGGTTTCATGGTGTCGCCGACTCGAGAGGTCCCGGGTTTAAATATCGGTGGGGGCAGATGTTTGTCTGATGAATACGAGCATTTGTACTCCAGTCATGGATGTTTAATATGTATTTCTATATAAATATACTTATATATGTACAGTACATATATGTATTCTATCCGTTGCCCTAGTAACACAAGCCTTATAGTGCTTACTTTGGGGCTAGGCTAATTGGTGTGAGTGTTGAAAATATTTATTTCATCATCATCAGCCTATTAATGTCCCCACTGCTGGGGTACAGGCCTTCCCTATGGATGGAATAGGGAGATTGGGCCATGACCCACCACGCGGGCCCAGCGCGGCTAACGACTGCAGATGCAGCCGGGACCAACGGCTTAACGTGCCTTCCGAAGCACGGAGGAACTCGAGATAGTAAATTTTTTGTCACCCATCCAATGACCGACCACTGCGAAAGTTGCTTAACTTCAACGATCGCAGCCGAACGCGCTAACCACTTGCGCCATCGAGCTCCTCAAATATATTAATTTATTTATTTATTAATTAGTTATTAAATAGAAATTTATACCTTGATTGCAAATTATTAGAAAAATATATATCTAGAATCAGCTTCGTTGAAGTATATTCCGAAATGGATGTCAATAAGGCATATAACATGTTTATTGATACGTTTTCACTCCTTTATAATATCTGTGCCAATACAAAAAAAATAAAGTAACTTATAAAAAAACACAAAAAACAAAAGGCATTATTATAAAAGACAATTACAATAGACAATAATGCCAAATTGCACAGAACTAAAAAAAAATGAAAAAACAGTTAAAGTAATGAAAGCAGAGACCAGACAAGCAAAAAAGATAACGAATACCAATTATATAATAAAAAGCACTAACAGAAATAAAGCTACGTGGCAAGTAGTAAAACAAAATACAGGACAAACAAACGACATAACCCAAACTATAGAATACATTAAAAATAATGATGCTTTAATTAATGAACCTACTGATGTTGCTAAAATTATGAATGAATTCTTATTAATCTAAATAGTTCAACGATTCCGGCACCTAAAATTTATATAAACCATTAACACAAAAAATATAAATTCATTTTTTTTAACGCCTGTAAATGTTGACGAATTTATGCTAACAATTAAAAAATTTAAATATGAAAAAGTACAGGCCATGACAATATCCCTTTTCGAATAATCAAAACTAGTGCAACATATATAACCCAACTCTTAGTACATATTATAAACCTTTGTTATGAAACGGAAGTTTTTCCTGATGATATGAAAGAGGCATTAGTAAAGCCTTTGCATAAGAAAGGTTCCAAGTGTGAAATTGGCAATTGCAGATCAATCGTATTATTATCAAACTTTTCAAAGATAATGGAGAAGTTAATATAAGTTCGACTAACGCCCTTTTTTAATAAAAATGACATCATTAGCGATAATCAATTCGGTTTCCAAAAAAACAAAAATACAACCCTAGCTATTTTCAAGATTTTATTTTGATATAGATAAAAAGAAAACATGTGTAGGGCTATTCTTGGACCTGTCAAAAGCGTTCGATTGCGTAGTCTATGATATTTTGTTGAGGCAATTGGAGCATCTCGGAATTCGGGGTAACGCTCTAAGGTCGGTCAGTAGAGATAGACAATAAAAAGATAGAAATAGTAAATGCGATGAAATTTTTGGGGGTCAACATTAACACCCATTTAAATTGGAAATCGCATGTGAATAAAATAAATGACAGATTATTAGTATCTGCTATATGCTTTCCATATTAACAAATATTGCTTTACGAGAAGTCGCAATCAATGCATATTATGGTTATGTTACCCTCTCTTGACATATGGCGTTATATTCTGGGGAAATTCGGGAAATGTGAACTTAACTTTTATAATGCAGAAAAAATGTTTAATAATGTATAATTTGGATCAAATGTATTATTTGAGAGATTTTTTAGGACTCATAAATATCTAACCTTGACATGTATTTATAATAATAAATACCTTTACATGTATTTTTTAGCTCATTAAGGGTAAATGTGAGGTCGCAATATACTAATAACTTATGTTCTATTCCAGTCTCAAGTTATATATTAGACAAGAGCACATTCGTAGCTGCTATAAAGATTTAACCACTATATGTATTAAATCTGCAAATGGCATCCAATTCAATGGCTAATTGAAAAAAGTTTTTATAATCTTAAGGAATTTTATGACAGTAAATCTCAAAAATTTTATTTTTAATTAATTATTATAGATTGTTGACAACGCTAAGTCGACCTTTTTTATAGTATTTATGTATTTTTGATAGCTCTATTTTTCTATAGTTTTTATGTTTGAATTTGTTACTTTTCATTATACATCATTGTCACGAAGAAGAGAGTTTTATTTTAGCTTTTGTCCTAGGTTTATAACAAAGTGCTATCAGGAGAATAAATTCAACATGCTTACACGCTCTAAAAAAGCCCTGGAGGCTCAGAAAGGTAACAAAAGTCGGAAAACTAGTGGTGTCTCTTTCAAAAATTTCTTCTTCTTCGGTACGACTCCAAATCGAAGCAGCGCATGCCGAGCGCACAGCTATAGTGGAACGAGAGCTAGCTGCCGCTGAATTGACCGCTGCTGCCCGCGTGGCCGCGGTGGAGCGCGCGGCCGCTGAGGCGGAACGCCTCGCCCAGCTTGCTAGGTTAAATTCCGGAAGCCGTACTGCTTCTCAGCGTTCACACAGCCATGGTAGCCGCACCCAAGCGTGGGTTGAAGCTCACGGCAGCTCGCAATCCGGACCCTCTGTGCATGGTGCGCTTTCTGAGAACCCTACCGCGGGACCCTGGCCCATGCGGTGCCTTTCGGGGGTTTGCCTACGGAGGCCCTAGCGCACACTGCGCTTTTCGAGGGCCCCGTGGTTTCCGCACCGACTGCCGTGCAACAAGCACCTCCTTGCGTTCTAGCTTCCCATGACTGCTCTTGCCGAGTGTCAGTAGGCTCATGTCATACCCCGTTGGTCCCCTGTCATCCTCCTACAGGGCAGTGCAATGCACAGATCAACAGGGCTCCTACACATTTACACTCCACATTAGGCACTCAACAACAAAATTGTAACATTAATAAAAATAATTTCATACTTCACAAAATATACTAAAATTGGCTTCTGCCAACGCCGATGTAGCTGCCGGAGCATCAAATAAAAAGGTAGGTGGTAGCCATACAATTTCTTTGCCTATCTTCAGCGGATACCCGACCGACTGGCTCATTTTTAAAAGGCTTTATGACGCCACGAACCCGTCGTATTCGGCTTACGAAAATTTAGCTAGAATTAGTGCCGCTTTACGTGGGGCCGCGCGCGAATGTGTAAGCGTTCTTATTGCGATCGCCCGATGTCAATGACCCTGCCGAAGTCATTCGAGCTCTCGAGGAGACGTTTTCCCGCCCAGAGCGGATTATTTCAACGAAGCTCTCCTTGATTCGTAGTTTATCTAGGCTACCCAACCACGAGAACTCGAAAGACTTAAATAATTTTGCATGCAAAGTACGCAATTGTGTAGAGGTGGTGCGGCTTTTGGATCGGCCGGAGTATTTAGCCTCTCCGGAGTTATGCAAGGAGATTGTTGGGAAGCTAACGCCACTCTTACGCACTCGTTGGGCGGACTTTGAATGCAGAAACGAAAGCCTTCATAATTACAAATTAGAACTTTTGTTTAAATTTTTAGTGAGCGAAGCAAATCTTCGCGCAATATACGAGTACATGGAACCATCAAAACCATTATTGCATGTCACTCATGATACCGTTGACAAGCGTCAAAATGTTTTTTTCTTTTGTCAAAACGAAACTTCTTTTTCGGCGGCATCCTTAGCAAACGACAACGAGGATTGTTTATTTTGCGAAAAGTCCGGACATTACGTTCTAGGGTGTAAACAATTCCAAATTCTTCCAATTGATAAAAGATGGGAATGGGTGCAGTCAATGAAGGTTTGTCATAAATGCCTACGAAAGTGAGGTCATGTATATGCTCGTTGTAGAAAATTTTCATGCAAGCATAATGCAAGTACGAAAAAATACACACATCATTCCATTCTTCATAGAGAATGTGCATGTGTGTGAATGTGTTCTGAATGTGCCACAGTTTCTTCTGTACTGTCAGCACCCAAGGGCCCTGTTATTTCTGATAACAATGCTTCAGAAACTGTAGCTCATAGCAGCACTCATTCATCTTCCCGCCCGTTCCTTAAGATGATTGCGGTGACCGTCTCTGGCCCAAGAGGTGCTGTTGATGCTTACGCATTATTAGATGCCGACTCCATCGCTACGTTGATGGACTCATCTCTGGCCAAAAATATTGGCGCTGAAGGACAAGGCGCGGTCGCATCCTGAAATTTTGGAGGGGGTCACTCACTACACTAATAAAAAAAAACCGGCCAAGTGCGAGTCGAACTCGCGCACCGAGGGTTCTGTACACACCTGAATTTACAAAAAAATATTTTTTTATAACTAAAAATTAACTAAAAATTATTTTTTCCTTTATCTGTACTATAAGACGTTACTTTGTACCAAATTTCAAGATTCTAAGTGCACGGGAAGTACCCTGTAAGTTTTGATTCCCGTGCGAGTTTCGAAAAGTTGCGGAAATTTGCGGCATAAACGGCTGTATCTTTTGATTGCTTTGGCTTAGAATTTGATTTTTTCACAGCTCCAAGGGACGGTAGACCCTGGATCTGGACAGAGCGTCAGCGGCGGAGTTTAATTTACCCTTACGGTATACTATATCATATTCATATTGTTCCAGCTTCAATCTCCATTTTTGGAGTTTGTGCTGGGGTCCTTATGATTAAACAGCCATTTCAAAGGTTTATGATCAGTTATGATAAGGATTTTGCGTCCATAGAGGTATGGGTGAAACGTTTTACAACCGTATAGGATTGCTAGCAATTCTTTCTCAGTAGTGCTGTATTTGGATTCGCTTTTGTTAAGGGTGTGTGAGGCAAAGGCTACTGGTTGGTCTTTTCTAACAGGTCCTTGGGAGAGTACAGCACCTAGTACAGGAGAGTACAGCGCATAGTTCGAAGCGTCACAAGTAAGGACAAATGGCTGAGTGAAATCTGGGTAGATAAGTAAGGGTGCTGTCGTCAGTTTATGTTTTAGAGTATCGAAAGAGAGTTGCTGTTGATTTTCCCATTTAAATGGTATATCCTTTTTCATGAGACTGGTAAGAGCTTTTGCTGTCTCGTAAAAGTCTGGGATAAATCGGCGATAGTACGAAAAAAAGACCAAGGAAGGATTTTATATCCTTTGGAGTTTTATGGGTAGGAAATGCGGTTACGGCCTTGACCTTTTCTGGATTTGGCTTTACGCCTTGTTCGGTGATTATATGCCCTAGATAACAGACTTCAAGTCTTAGAAATTCGCATTTGTCGGGCTGCAGTTTCAGATTGAACTGACGGATTCTTTTGAAGATGGCTGTCATATTGCTGATGCTAGATTTTAGACCATACCCGTATGAGATCACATCGTCGAGAAAGCATCGTATACCCTGAAGGCCAGATAGTACAGAATTATTAAGTTGTTGGGAGATACTCATTACTTAGGTTTAGATACTTTTCTATACATGATTGTTTTAACAGACTTACAGATGATCCAGAGTCGAATAACAAAGATAGCGGAATGTTTGAAAGAGAAGAATTCACGAGGACATGAGGTAATAGAGTCTTTGCAGGATTATTAGTTATTTCGTAAATCTTGGATTTGAGTATATTTGGCGGGTTAGGTTTGTTGTGTAGTCGTTGGGGTATAGTGGATTTTGACAGATCAACTTCATTGAGTTCCTGCACGGATACCGTGGACTTTGGCAGATCAACTTTGTTTAGTTGCTGCACGGATACAGTGAGTTTTGGCAGATCAACTTTGTTGAGTTGCTGCACGGATATAGTGAGTTTTGGCAGATCAACTTCCTTGAGTTGCTGCACGGATACAGTGGATTTCGGCAAGTGATCATGTAGCGATGTTTGCGGTGGATCTGGTTTGTAGCGACATCTATATACTTTGGATTTTTTGTTTGAATCAGCTGTGTCGATTTTTGGTTCACGAGATTCCGTACGACACAGTTTTTAGTTTTTTGGATTGGAATCGACGGTGTTAACGCCATCTATCATAAGCTTGCGAAAACACATTTACCTTATCCCTTCCTCTAAACTCACCTGTTGTCGACTTCGTCCGCGCCGCTGCCATCGCTGCAATTCGAACGAACGGACGAGAAAAAGGCAACGGCTTTTCGTGTGCTCTGATCGCCGAGAGGAGGAACTCCCACGACTGAGAAAAAACCGCGCTCCGGAGACGCTTTTCGCCTACACATATTTCCGCCCCGGGGCCCGCGAACATCCCGCGAACATTAGTGTAAAAAGAAATAGTGGCACAGGCGAACATTTCCAGGACAGGAAGAACAGGCGTCAAGGAACCAGCCCAACAAACCAACAGGTACCCCCTTTCCCACAGTTTCCCTCAGCAGTTGTTTTGTGGCGTGACCATTATTTAGTGGTCCTTCAGCCGCATTCATCCACCCGCCCTTACTGGTATTTACCCAGTAAGAGTATTTATCCGCTCCAATATTGTGCATATTATATATATTTTCGCTTATTTTTCGTATTATAAGCCCGCAACGCATTTTCGTTCTCATAAAACGAAAGCACGGTGTCGTGGCTCGCTCATATATATATCTACCGCCCCATTACAATAAAATTATTCATCTAATAGGAGAACAATACAAATTATTATAACACCCATATGTATTTATATAATTAATTAAAGGTTCCAGTAAATACTTAACCATTATAAGTATACCTACATTTCAAAGTACCTACATATTTGATATTTGTCACATTTATTTACCCGTGATTGGATATTTTATAAAGGTGCATAGAATAAAAACAACAACGCTTACATATTTAATTACTTACGCATTTGTCATTTGTTTGCATTCATAATGAACCCGAAAAAGGATTCGCCTAGTAC